AAGATCGCCTTCCCTCTTTATTGCTGAAATACATCACTTAGCGGTGAGCGGAGCATCCCCTCAGAACAACTATTCCCTCCTTCCCCCCTCTCACTTATTCCCGTCCTTTCTCGCCTTTTTTGTTTGTACTGTCATGGAATTCGTAGCTTCAGGAAAGTTTTCCTTTCCATTTAGTGAAAATACCAGCAGCAGTTTCCCAAGCATCTTCCTGCCCCTTCTAGGAGAAAAATCATTAGAAATCCTGATCTAAAAGAAGGGGGGGGATGCATGAGTTTAGTACATAACTAAATTAGATTATTATGTAAGTAATCTCTTTGAATCGGGGCTTAATTTCTAAAAGTAGATGTGCCAAAGCGCTGTGGAAGACCGTCAGGAAACAGTAACAAGAATAAGTACATAAGTAAAATCACTAATAAAAAAAAAAAAAAAAAAAAAAAATTTGAAATGTTTCAGATTTTAAATTACGTCCAAAGGGGCGTTTTTTAACATTTTGTGTGTTACCTTTCTTTATTAAATATCATGTTCCTCGCACTTAAACCATAAGATCCAGTGCAACAGCAATATCGCAAAATAGTTTTAAAACGAGCCTATCTTTAGAATTTCCGATACAGAGACTCACGCGTTGGAGATAAAAATGTTTTTTTTTCTGCACAACGTTGCCATTGCTCGCTTTGAAATCCTTGAGTTTGTTAATCAAAAATTCGTCAAAGTTTAAAAAATAGGAAATCGATCATAAAACAAATTTCAAATTTCAAAATTTGGTCTTCCACATGCTCATATTCGTTGGAGGATTACGTTATTCAAAATTCGATGACTCTATGTACCGTTGTTTTATCACAATACGAGAAATATACATACATTTATGCAGATTTTTCATTATTTAATTTCTTCAAATATAAATGCAGGACTCTAACATTTGTGGCAAACAGTTTGAAAAGTGAACCGACGTTCATGAGTCCGACGCAAAATCGCCAAAACGAAAACAATAGTCCTTCAGGGACAAAAGCCCCTTTGAACTAATAATTATTAATTAAAAAATTAAGTAATTAATGATTAGAATAATTAAAATTTAATAAAATGTAAAGAGATATATAAACAGTTTAATAAGTAATTAAACAAATGGTAAATATTAATTTAGAAGTCAAACAACAAAAATCGGCGTTATATTTTCAATTTTCACAGGACTAGTTTTGATTGTTTCACCGAATCATCATCCTCAGCTACAAAAAACGCAAATGAACGATATTATATATCTTATATATTTATTAAATGCGCGTAGTCCTGTATTTTTAATTTTTCGGCGTAGCTTTATCTTCAGTTAAGTCTCGCGCTGTGCTGCATTGCACGGGAATATAAAATAATTTTAATTACAAATTCTACTAAAAACATAATCTAATATAAAATTCTACTAAAACATAATTACAAATTCTACTAAAAACATAACCGCTAAATAAATTCAAAAACCCTAACAATATGAAAACGAAGAGCCCTGCATTTGGAGAAGAATCCAACATTCTATCTGACTAGGATCTCTTGTCAGTATTAATTCTAGCTATCAAGCAGAAAGTGACAGGGAAACAAATTTCCCCCAAATCGGAGGGTTAGCTGATAAAAAGGCAACAAATGACAAATTTGATTCCTTTTATTTGGTTATATCTTTCCGAAAGATCTGCAGGTGCTCTTTTTCGCGGGAAGACACTAGTGTTGGAACGAAAAACTTACCCGCTGCCAAAAATTAACTGTACTTTCAGGAGAAAGAGTCTTTGACATGTGGGTGGAGGTTTTCCTTTCCTTAAAAGTTTCGACCTCCGTCTAAGGGTTTGTTGCCCAAGGAAAGAGAGGCAAGCATTCAGAAGTTAAACTCGATTTTTAATATAATTTTATTGAAATTTCTGCTGAATTTTTTGTTCAGTTACATAAAAGAAGTGGCGAAGCTTTTTTATTTACGGCTTCGACTAGAATTATTATTTATCCCCAAAACTAAGAACTACCGGAGCGAGCCTCCCGTGTGCCCCTGTGAAATTTAAGCTCTGCTTTGAATGTAAAATTTGTTTGCCTTTAAAGTATAACTTAATGAAATGCAGGTTAATTTATACTTGCAGCACTCATACGAGTGCACGCCATGCACCAAAAAGCCGTATTCGTATACGAACACGAGATTTGCAACCCTTGTAAAAAAGCTGTAAATCTTTATGAATAAGGAGAAATTACTATAAAACGGTAACATATTTACTAGCCATATGTATACGATGTGGTAGTAAAGTATACACATGTACAAGTTCATGGATGTGCTCAAAAAAATTTCCTTCGTCAGCTGTCATGCACATTTTACATCGCTGATGCATGCGAACCTGTGCAAAATCACTACACCCATAGCGGATACTTTCAGCTGTTTCAAAGGCTGTTACAATAAAGTCAACGTCAAACTCAACACGTACTTAAAAGTACTCATACACCTTAAACCCCCTCATGATCTTCGAATATGTGACAGTTGCGAGAATTGAGATATTTTATTTATTTTAAAAGCAATTACTTCCAACTTTTTACAGCTGACCAGATAATATAGCTGCTTTGGAAACTAGTAACCAGAAAGTTTGTGTTGCCACAAATAGTTTTGTAATTTAATCCTCTTTGTGACAAAATATTTCGCCATGTTTACATCTTGCGCGCATGATATTTTAAAATTGGCTAATGGTACATACTTGAAATTCGATGGAATTCTTTATATGGGCACTATTTTCTAATTGAACCAACAATCCGATGAATATTTTAGTATTGAAAAATTTTATGGACGGAAACATTACAAATTTTTTTAATAAAATACATTTTATAAACTCCACTCCAAATAAAATAAAAATTTAACATGAAATTTTTAGAATTTTAGGTTCACAGTAGTTTTCAAATGTTATAAAAGCTATATATTAAATATGGAAGTAAATTATGAAACAGAATGTTTTAAACTGTGCGCGCTAGTTCGAAACATGACGAAAAATGTTGTCACAAAGCGGATTAAATTATAAAAATATTTGTGGCAACGCAAACTTTCTGATGACTATTTCAGAAAGCAGCTATATTATGTAGTCCGCTGTAAAAAGTTGGTAGTAATTGCTTTTAAAATAAATACGTTATTCCAATTCTTTCGACAATTACCTATTCGAACGTCTTATGGGTTTTAAGGTGTATGGGTCCCCTTAATACACGTTCGTTAAAGTTTTACAAAATATTAAATAGATAATAAAACAAATTTCAAATTTGGGCTTCCAAATGCCCATATTCCGGTGGAAATGTACTACTACGAATTGAACAGGCGTGGTGAGATAGCTTCCCCGCAAAGCAATTTTAGGGTTGCCATAAAATAGCGAAGAAGGCAGGGTTGCTACATTTGGCGATAAAATTCACGATATGCCATGGACGGATGGAGAATCTTCTGGAACGAATTCTAACCAGTTTAGCCCAGAATGTTCTCGAACACAAGCCGAAAGCTATATAAACCCTGCTGGTCCGCAGTCAGTCAGTGTGCGCCTCGTCTAGAGTGCGAGTTAGTTAGTATCGAGTTGGTGTCTCGTCTAGCGAGTCAATCCCTGCGGAGTTGATCGAATTGACAGCCGGGCAGCAAGTGCCGAGTGGGTCGTCGAGTGCACCGAAGAGTCTCTTAGTGTATCGCGGTTAGTGCATCGTCGAGAAAGCGTGTTGAGCTTCAGGAACGACTGAACCGAAGAGTCGGGAGCTGTGCTCTGAGTGTCGTCGAGTGCATCGCGAGTTGTAGCGTGGAGAGTCTCGAGAGTACGTGGAGTTCCGAGAACGACCCAGCAGAGTCGGGAGCTGTACTCTGGTGCTTTGCCGCCGTGAATCTGTTTCCACCATAGCCTGATAACCTGGAGGCTGTGTCGCTGATCGTGTCAGCGTATTTATAGTAGTTCATCGACGACTGTAACCGTGTTTTGGAGCTGTCCTGACAATACTGGCCAATAAAGTGTGTTTCGATACTTCATCATCGTCGTTATTCACTGCAAATCCGTACGAACGTGACGTAGCAACTGGTGTCAGAAAAGAAAAACGCGTTATTCAGCATTGGATAGCTCTAGGTACCATGGTTTTAACCACAGTGCGAGAAACATGCATACATTTATGCAGATTCTACATTACTCAATTTCTTTAAATATAACACATGTTGGTAATATTTGGTGGCAACAATTTGAAAAGTGAACCGACATTTATAGTGAACCAACACAAAATGCCAAAACGAAATTAATAGTCCTTCAGGGAAAATTGCCCCTTTAAAGACTAAACAGAAAATCTGAAAGCTTTCAGATTTTATATTACGCCCAGGCGTTTTTTTAACATTTTGTTTGTTACCTTTATTTATTAAATATCGTGTTCTTCGCACTTAAATCGCACAAGATTCAATTCAACTGCAATATCACAAAATTTTTAAAAACAGCATATCTTTAGGATTTCCCATACACAGTCTCGCTAGCTGGAGATAAAAATATTTTTTTTCGTGTAGTGTTGCCATTGCTCGCTTCGAAATCGTTGAATTTCTTAATCAAAAATTCATTAAAGCTTTACAAAATTTGAAATATATTATAAAATAAATTCAATATTCGGGCTTCCATGTACCCGTACCCTCGTTTATTCACAGTGCCAGAAACATGCATGCATTCATGCAGATTCATTATTATTTGGTTTCTTTAAATATAAAATATGGCGATAATATTCGGTGGCAACAGTTTGGAAAGTGAACGCAGAACGTGAAACCACGCAAAATGCCGTGTTCATACTATGCAATCCTTTGGATCTGAAGGTCTTTTTGGCTAAAAAAAAAAGGTTTCTGCTTTGTTCTAGAATCACCATATTTTTCTCTAGTAATGAACTGAATTCTGTTAGTTTTTATACTGTGGAAGTAATTTTTATATTTTTGATATGAATGTTTAATGATTTATAGATATTTTACTGTGCCAAAATTGATAACATTTTTTATCCTGTTTGTTCTGTTTCAGGTCTTCTGTCTTGGGACATTGAAGCAACTGGCTGTAATCTAAATGGTTTAGAAAGTGTGTGCTCTGGGATCAGCACGAAACATCTCAGTGATAGCGGTAAGTAATCGATATATTTTTTCTAAAATATTGCGTGTACGTTCCTCAATGTGCTCATTCCAATATAAAATCCTGAGAAAAATGTATTACAATGTCCGTTGGCAAAAATTTACGACTTTTTTGGCGCCAATCGTGTTTGCATTCAACGCCGTGCCAAATAAAATGGCGCCGAAAACATAATCTAGTAAAACATGAAAAAAAATTATAATGGCACATTAAAACTGTTTAACGACACTTTAATTGCGTTATTATAGCATAAAAATCGCTTACAACGGAATAACGTATTTTTACTGTAGTCATATATGGGAAATTATTTCGTTTTAGCGAACACTATTTCCGAAATAAAACAAAGTATATCATAGCCAGAGCTTAAATTGCGCCGGAGTCCGGCTCCGGTACGCATATTTCACAAGTGCACATCTGTGTAGCCACCGAGGGAGTGGCTTCTAGGATGGACCAATGAGCATCCTGTGATATTTCCGTCATGTTACATGACCTTTCGCGTGCTTTAAGATTAAGCAAGATGGTTGAAAATTTTCTGCCACGCAATTTTCTGTACAAAACAATTAAAGCATCGTCGATTGCTTCTGAAACTTTTCATTGCGAAGTTAGTTCAAATATAGGCAATTATGAAGATTTCACTACATGGTTGAAATAAATACAAACACATGTTGGATACTTCGCAAAAAATATCGATGTGAAATATTACTTAATAAGTGGTAAATAAGATGAAGAAAGAAATATGTGAATAAACATCTGAACCCAAATGCAACTTTTACATAAAACTATGCGTATGAGAAAAATACTTACACCAGTTATATATGTAAATAGAAGTCAGCACTTTTTATTGCAGTCTATATGAAAAAGATGTTCTATAATAATAAGCAATGCAGAATTTTATTCAAAGTGAACTTTACTCATTTGCATTCATATACATTTAGTGTGTTAAATTTCTCATTTAATAACTGGCTCTTAAATGTATTGTCTACACAAGAAATAATACTCATCAAAGAGTGAATTTATCTTACTCACAACGAATATATTCAATTTATTTACATATAATTTTTAATGTTAGCAATGGATATAATCAGATTATATGTATTCTGAATCTTACACTTTAAAAATCAAAAGAATGCAAGCACTGAAATAAGTATAAATAGATTCATTGCAACCTTTCAGTCATTCTCAGCTCAATTAAAAAAATATACACTTGAATTCTCTTAACCCACATAATATGCAGTGAACATCAATCCAAATATTAATGCATGATAAAAATCGCGATTAATTAAACTCAGAAAACTTAAGCACAACAAGATTTCTACTATTACGCCATATATTTATAACTGCGAAACAAATGCAAATTAAAACGTAAACAATATATGCTCACATGCATCACAAGAGCAATAGCAGCTCATTGGTCCATTTTCGAAACTCCTCCCTCAGTGGCTACGCTGATGTGCACTTGTGAAATATGCGGTGCCTCCGGTACTTCTTAGTTTTGGAGATAAAATCTTGAAAATTGCGTTTTTTACAATCAAATTCTATTAAAAATCGCTTGTTAAATTTTAGTTTATCTCTTTACATTTTATTTTAATTATTTAATTACCTTAATCTTTAACTACTTAAATAAATAATAATTATTTTTTATTTAATTAAATAATTATTAAGTAATAATTGATAAATGTTAATTGATTAGGAATTAAATTAATAATTATGAACTATTTAATTCTTTAATTATTAATGATTTTAATAGTCATTTTATTTATTTATTTACTTTTGTTCTTCTTTGCTGACGGTCTTCCATAGGGCTCCCGCACTTCTAATTTTAGAAATGAAGCCCTGATCATAGCATTGTGAATGCAAATTTTGTACTAATAACATGAACGAAGTTATTTGCATTACGTTTTATATAAAGTGCAAATAATTATTTAAATAAGTTTTTAAATATCTTTTAAAGAATTGTCGTATTCGCTCGCGTGCATAAGCAGCACTCGTGCTCTTTTTAATTTTTACCTCTAACTTAAATTAAAAAAAAAAAAAAAAAATTCTCGAGGATAAGCTACAGATAGCCTGTTTACCATCTACAATATTTTATTTATTCTGGATGTGTAAAAACAGCTAAAATGAAAACTTATCATACTCGGTACTTAACGAGTTTTTATTATGAATGAAAAAGGAACATGTTTCCGTGCCTAGCACCTCTTATTTACTGTCTTTGTCCATAAGACTGTAGTTGTTGCCTGTTGACAGTTAGACTGATACAGGTACTAGACATGTTGATTGTCACTTTGATGGTTTTGATTGACTCACAGAGCAGTTGTTTTGTAGAAGAATATTATATTTTTAACTAGCAGCTTCGCTGCCAGCCTTCGTCTAGCTTTTAAATGTACCGAAAAAAATGGCTGAAGGGAACACCAAAAGTTAAATTTAAATCTGCGTAGAATTTTACTCTGCAGAACAACTTCATAAAAAAAAAAGTTATTACGTATAACAAAACTACAATGAAATAAGCAGTATCCCTTAATACAAATATTAATTATCCTAATAAATAAATTAACCAACTTCCCTTTGTAAAATCTTAAGAACTCAAATGGTATAAAGGAGGTTAAGAACTTTGTTTCCTAAAAAAAAATCACTCAAAACTTTTCAATATCTTACAGTGAAATAAGCAAATCATAACATAAAAGAAACTCAAAAAACAAAATTTCGCGCAGAATTTTACTCTGCAAAACAACTTTATCAAAAAAAAGTATTATATATATATATAAAAATGACAATGAAATAAGCCAATCTCTTAAAAACAGTGACATAAGAAATATGATGAAAAATTGTTGCCAAACCCATATTTCTAAAAGAATGAAACTATTCAAAATGATGCGATTTCATCCAAAATCTATCAACAACAATAAGACAGGAAAATTGTTGCCAAAATCACATTTTGAAAGATGTTAAATGTGAGAAGTGTACTCGGAAGCTTCATTTAAAAAATCTTTTAAATACAAAATATTATCATTTTTCCAAAATTCTTTTTGTAAAAGCAATCGCAAGGATGAAAGTTTAACGTGTTCAAAAATCAAAGAAAAATAAACTGTACACTTTTAAAAATAAACTTTTCAAAAAAATCCCTTTGAAAAGGTGTTAAGCTCCCTTTGTTAAATAAATTCGTATTAAATCGATTTATTGAAACACGAAATTTATTTTAAGTTCGTAAAATAGTTAAGTGCCTATGTTTCATGACGATGTGAAAATGGAGTGTGTAGAGTAAAATCTCGCTTCTTATAGCATAGCCCATTATGTCTCAAAATGACGCGATTTCGTCAGAAAACATAAAATAAAAAAAATTCGAATTCGAATTTCGAAAAAATCGCTTCGAGGTGCACTGGCTCTTGTCTAGATGCACCTATGTACCAAATTTCGAAGTCGTGGGTCTATTAGCTTACGCGCAAACGCGAACGAAAGACACACACACTTTCTTTTATTATATGTGGAGATAACGAGATTTATTTTTGTTTTTAAAATTATTGATTACTTTTCGAGATATAATTATGTAAACAAGATGTAATAGCCATGAAAAGCTACACTGTATTTCAAAAATAATATTTTTCATGCACCATATTTGCCGGCGTATAAGACGGTCCTTTCTTTGTATGCACATTTTTGAATCATAAAACTTTTATTACCGATTTTTATAATGAATTTACAGTATTTTAAAGTAATCCTTTTTTAAAATACCCAATCTATCTGCGAAAAGACACCTTTTAATCTCCTTCGCGAAAACACACACACATCTCCAGTCACTTGAAACCTTCTAAATCAGCATCTGAATTTTCCTCATACAAACATTTTTTCTCTGTACCATCCAGTGCTTTACTAATGCCACACTTCTGAAATGATTCGACAACTGTCTCTGTTTTCAGAGTATTTCATGAAGCTTCGATCCATTCACAAACGACGTACGTATAAGACGCCGGGCGTATAAGACGCACCATGTTTTTCAGACCTATTTTCAAAGAAGAAAAGTGCGTCTTGTACGGCGTCAAATACGGTAATTTACATGATTTTTCATGTGACTTGCATGATTATGTGATTTACATGATTTTTTATTAAACTTTTAGACAGGAAACACTACGATTGAAATGACCCTTTTGAGATGTCGGGCCATGTTTCGTAACTTTTGTTACCCACAAAGGGTTTAGGGCGGTGTTTCCCAACGTAGGGCCATTAGATTATTAAGGAGGAAATTCGAAAAATGGACTCTTCCAAAGTTAAAAGGAACAAGGAATGTTCAAATTCCCAAATTTTCTTCAAAATGTCCAAATTTTTCGAAATTTCATTTTTTATTCCCGAAAATAAAGAACAAAAGTGATGTATAAGTAAAATGTTTTTAAATTTCGGTGCATTTAAAATATTTTATAAAAGAATTTTCGCTGTAGACATGGATGTTAAAATGCTTAGAAATTTCTTCCTAAAACCTATCATTCAAGTTTCTTTCATGAACATTTCAATTTTTGTATATTAAAAATTGCGTATTGGCTAGGGGGGCATAAGAATTTTAGAGAGGAATAGGTGAGGAATATCGCAAAAAAGGTTGGGAACACTGGTCTAGAACTTTTCGCCGTCGCCATTTCACCGTCGGGACGTTTTGCCGTCAAGACATATTTTTCTTTACATGACTGTATTATATCTTGCAGTATTATACTCATATTAAATTTTTTTAGTTTAATAATTATGTTTACATTTTGTATACTTAATAAAGGTTACTTGTAATATATATAGTTATTTACAAGTATGAGATAAAGAAATTGCACATACTTGGAAAATTATGTCAGTATCAAAGAGAACTTCTGATATAACAGAAGTTATATTATCGAGTTTAAAATTATGCGGGTACAATATTGACATAATTCGCCAAAATTTCTTGAAATTTTAATTAGCTATTTCATAGAAATCGCTCGCATAAGGAAGAAATTTACATTTTTATGAATCTTAATGGAAAATGGAATTACTTTGAAATCTTGTCAGCATTGAACTCTCTTAAAATTAATATGTCATGTGTAACGGTGTATTTGTATAAAACTATACACAAAATATTTTATATATTATTTTATATAAAATTATTATAAGTAAGTTTGTAAGAACAAAACTAAAAAGACCAATTTATAGATCGAAATTTTGCGCATTGTGCTGCAAAATTAAGGAAATTAGAAGATAAATTTTAGTAAGCTCTCCAAAACGTTACCAAGAGCTGTGGCTCCAAGAAAACTTCAACATAAGCATATACAGTGTTTTTTGGAAGGAAGACTAATCTATCGTTAAAGTGGAACTGTAAACAGTATCCTGCAACTCATTAGCTAAAGCTTAAAAACAAAAAACAATAAACAAAAACATTCTGAAACTTTTTTTCGCTTAAAGCTGAGAAAAAAAATATAAGTAAGGTTGTAAGAACAAAACTAGAAAGACAATTTGACCTAAATTGGTCTTTTTATTAAGCTTAAAGCTGCGAAAAAGGCTTAAAGCTTTAATGCGCTTAAAGCTGCGAAAAATTAATAATATTTCTTTAAAGCTGCGAAAAATTAATAATATTTCTTTTGCTTAAAGCTGCGAAAAATTAATAATATTTCTTTTGCTTAAAGCTGCGAAAAATTAATATTTCTTTTCGCAGCTTTAAGCGCAAAACAGTTTCAGAATGTTTTTGTTTATTGATTTTTTAAGCTTTAGCTAATGAGTTGCCGGATACTGTTTACAGTTCCACTTTTACGATAGGTTCGTCTTCCTTACAAAAAACACTGTATATGCTTATGCTAGAGTTTTCTTGGAGCCATAGCTCTTGGTAACTTTTTGGCGAGCTTACTAAAATTTATCTTCTAATTTTATATAAAATGTTTATTAAATTAAATTATGATAGTAAACAGAGTATTAATTTAAATCAACTTCATATAATACGGCAAGATATAATACAGTCGTGTAAAGAAAATGTGTTGACGACGAAATGGCCACGGCAAATATTCCCATTCCCACCCGCAAATGCTGAGTTTTATTATTGACTGCCGATTTAAATTTCATAATTTTAAAATTTTAATTAGCCATTAGTTAGCCATCTTTTAAAATTTTAATTAGCCATCTATTAGAGTTTTCATTCATTTAAAAATGTGAGTTATGTATTATTTTCAATTTAAATTTATAGTAATGTAGTTAGTAATGAAGTTTTAAAATACGTAATCATCTTTTTTATTATTATTAACAGATGTCTTAATTCAACACTCAACGGAGAGTCTGGGAGTTGAAGTCCTTGTTAATCCTACTGTGAGCACGCTGAAGCAATGTGTCACTAATCTCTTCTCCACCTCAACAGGACACAAACACCTCATCCACGCTGGATACACATTCGCTGGTTCTGGTTCATGGATACTGCAAAATGGCACTTTTTCTTTTGATGAATTCCTTGAAATATTTCAACAAGCTGATGTCCAGAGTCAGAAACGTTGCAACATTAACGTTCATTGTGCTGAAGTGGGACCATGGAATGTCACAAACTTCGCCAAAGATATTTTTACTAAAGTAGCCAATGTAACTCTTAATCCACCAGCAAAAGTCAGTAATGTTCCGGGATCTGTGTATCTCATCGATTGTTTGAATAAAATGCTCAACTCCCAAGCACTGGAGGAGATGATGGAAGCCTCTCCATTAGTAGGAAATATCCGATTTAATCGACCTACACTTTACATGTTTCCGGCAGGTCAAGGAGACTGTGCCTTGTTTGGCATTAATGGATTTAACATGCTCATTGATGGTGGGTTTAATAGAAAACCTTGTTCTTGGGAATTCATACGCCACTTGGACAGACTTGATGCAGTTTTAGTTACTCGTCTCTGTGAAAATAATCTTTGTGGCATGTCCACTTTGATGAAACGCAAAGCTTTGAATAATACGTATCCTCAGATTGGCTATGTGTTCTGCAATATTGCGGAAGGCAAAACTTCGTCTCCTAAAGATGAGATGGCAAAAGATAAAGACGATCTAATAGTAAGTGTTGTTAACGAGGGTCACAACTTTATTCAAACCCTCAACGAGTTGAAACTGAAACCTCACCAATGCTGGAGAGATTCTTCTGTTGAACCTTTTGTTCTGTATCACAAAGTAGGACACGGTACACTTGAAATGCATGTTCTTAGCCCACCTCGAGATAGTAAAGAAATGAAAGAATTCCTAATGGAGTGGAGCTCTTATAAAGAAACCTTTTCCTGTATAAAATCTGGTTTAAAAGGTAAAATTCTTGAAAGCACAATTCCATTATCTCATGCTACTTCAATCTGCGCGATCCTTGTGTGGCGTCCTGCCGATCCAAAAGATACAATCACTAGAATTTTGTTCCCTGGTAGTGCACCTCAAAATAAAATTTTTGAGAGTTTGGAAAAGCTGAAATCTCTTGATATCTTGAATCAGCCAGTTGTGACTAAAGCCTCCCTGACCAGCATTTTAGTTGCTAAACCTGTCAGTAATAAAATTGAAAAACCTGCTTCCAGAGCATCAATTCCGAATCGGAGGAACACTGCGTCTCCAGCTTTGTCGGTATCAAGTATTGCATCTAGAAACGGAGATGTTGGTGGCTTTAAAAAAGATATTAAAGAGACGAAAAAAGTAATTAAAGAAGTAAAAAAGGATATCAAAGAAGTGAAAAAGGAAGTAAAGAAGGATATTAAGAGAGATTCTGGGATCAAAGAACTTAAAAAGGATGTTAAAGCAGATGTTCCTCAGAAAAAAGAGGTCCCTGCAAAGAAAGATACAGCTGTAAAGGAAACCAAAAAGGAGACAAAAGAAGTTAAGAAAATAGTAAAGAAAGAAAATAAAGAAGTGAAGACTGTAGCCGACAAAAAGCCAGAACTGAAAAATATATCGAAAAAGCCAGATATTTCAGGAGTCACAAAATCTGTTACCGAAGTGAAAAAATCACCAACTGTTAGGAAGACTACGACACTAGTTAAAAAGGACTCAGGCAAACCATCTGCTGCAGTTAAAACAGTGGAAAATAAAAAACCATTATCAAAAGTTTCTGAGCTTAAAGCTTCTAAAGATATTAGTAATAAAAAAGCTGTTGAAGCTAAAGCTGTAACGAAGACGAAACCGAAAACCGCATCTCCCGCCACCAAAACAACTACGAAACCAAAACCTGCTGCTGTACCTAAAGCTGGCAGCAAAATGACGAAAGCGGTTGCTGCAAGTTCTGTTGTTGCTTCAGCAGTAGCTGTTACTGTTGCTGCCTTGGAACTTAACGAGAAAAAGGAAGAAGTTCCTGACGAAATTGATGAGGAAATCGAAAAAGAAGTTGAAATTCTAGATGAGCCGAAAGATTCGGGCGTTAATGAGAAATCAGAAGAGGAAGTAAATGTATCTCCTTTGCCACCGGAAGCATTGTCACCAACTCCTTCAGATTCTGTATCTTTGACACCTTCAGATACATTGTCATCGGCGCCACTGGAAACAGTATCTCCAACGCCTCCACTCGCTAACGAGCCTGTTTCGACTGAAGAAAAGGAAGTTAATGAAATCAAAGAAATTGAACAAGATATTATTCCATACGACAAAGAATATGCTCCAGAAGGTGACGTAAGCAATGATGATAATGAAAAACTGGAGAAGGAATATGAAGAAATAAATCCAATAGAAATCGAACTCGCCAAACAACAATCAACTAGTGATTTGATGGCTACATCTTTCGTTGCTGAAAAAGACTTGAATGGCTGCGAAGTACAAGAAGAAGTCATCACTGAAACCAAAATTGTTAACGATGAACTGGTACCTTCAAATGCAACCAACTTTGAAAATAAAGAATTGGAAGTAGAGGATGTTTATGAAAAAGGTGCGGATGAAGATATCGAAAAATGTGATAATTATCAAAAGGAAGAACATATTGAAAAGAAAGAAATTAATATTGATAACCAATTAGCTGGTTTATCTATGGAAGGAAGCTTTTGCGCGGGAGTTAATTCATACGAGAAGGAAGAAAATACCAATGTTTCCGAGGATAATTTGAAAAACATTGTAGAAGACAATGTTTCAGATGAAATCAATGTTACCGATGCTACTGCAGCTAAAGAGGATATCACTAAAGACTATCAGGACGAAATTCCGAAACAAAACGATGAGACAACTGCAAACTCATCTGAAATATTGGAAGAAGAATATCGTACTAATGTAAATGATGAAGAGATGATTACTCACAAGAGCGAAGAAACAATGGATGCTTTGGCACAGCATTCGGAAGATTACAAAGATGAATCGCATGAACAATTGAATAAGAACAAAGAAATAGTGGATGAATTGGTACTGCAATCGCAAGATATTAAAGATGAATCTGACGAACAGTTGCATCCTCAGCATGTTTCAGAGTCTAATATTGAACAAGAAACGTCATTTGAAGTAAAGACTGATGAGCATAGGAATCATCAGCTGTCCACAGATTTAGAAGTCAACGAAGATAGTAATATCATATCGCAAAACACAACCGATGAACAGTATGATAAAGAATCTGATATTCAGTACTTAGAAGAATCCATTCATTCTCACTCGAATTTTGATCAGCCAATGGACATCGTTCACGATGTGGAAATGCAAGAAAGTTCTGTTGATGAACCAGAAGAAATTGTTCGAAAGGAGTCTTCCGTTTCGATAACGCTGAATGATGAACCTGAGAGTGATTACATTGATAGCTTGCGAAGAAAAAGTGGAACTGAATCAGAAGATGATGTAGATATACAAAATTACATGACAAAAGAGCACAGAAGTTCAGTGGAACAAGATAAATTATATGTTAAGCAGGATTCTGAATCTGATGACGAAGATGTAGTTAAAAGCCCAACACCACATGCGGTAGTTGACTATGAAGGACATAATGATGATATCATACGTGAGAATAAAATCAACTCAGATGAAGAGTACGAAACTCTACATAATGATAAAGAACATTATGCAACTGAGAAGCAAGACTTTGACGAGAAGGATCATGATTCAGCTGAAGAACAAGACACCGACGACGGTGAAATGATTAGGCATCCAACTCCACCAATGAAGTATAGTGAAGATGAAATGCGTGATCCTATTGGTCAACATTTTATCACTGCACCTGGACTGAAAGAGCAGCCTGATATAGCAGAACCACTGTATGAAGAAACTGAAGACAGCAGATCGGATGCATCGCCAAGTCCAGTTATAGATCAACCTGTTTTCAGCAATGCTGTCGAAGCAGATTTTCCGGAATTTGTAACTGTTTCAGGCGGAACTACTCCATCAGAACCCCAGTCTCCTAAATCTACGCTTGATTCAAAGAAATTTGCCTCTGAGTCTGGAATGATGGAGGTCTTAAGTGAACATGATTGCTCCGAAAGTTCTACTCATAGTCCTTTGTGCCAAGAAAGTAATACAGCTTTTGATCTGCAAGTGAATGAACATATTTTAGGATACGAAAGTGAATCCAATCTGAATAATAAAATTGAACAAGCATCGGATGTAAGCGTAGCAGATCTAAAAGGTAATGTAGACGATCAGAGCAACGACTTTGGGGTAAAATGTGATACTTCTTTGGGTATCGAAGAAAATCTAGATACTCGTAAACGTGATGCTTTCTCAGATGATGAAATCTGCAGTCAAACAGATAAATCTGAAACTCACAGTGAAGAGAAAACTGATAGTGCTACAGATGACAAATCTGATGCCCATCCTGACGATAAATCCGATGCCCACCCTGACGACAAATCTGATGCGCATCACGATGACAGATCTGATGTGCATTCTGATAAATCAGACGCTCACTCTGATGATGGATCTGATATCGCTGATGATAATAAATCTGATGTCCATCCTGATGATAAATCTGATGTGCATGATGACAGGTCAGATAACCAGTTTGACAGAAAATCGGACATTTTGGAGGATAATCTAGGCAATACGGCTGATATCCATGAAGATGAGAATACACAGTTCCATCATCCTGCTGAAAGTGAATTTGAAAGCAGCCAGAAATCTAACATTCCATGCGATGTATCGCATCGAGATGATGATAGTCTCTTCACTAAAGAAAACTTGACTGAAGATGTTCCTGATGTACAACAATATGGTGAGTTGGAGAGTTCTCATGATAAAACGATAAACATTCACCATGATGAGGATGAGCTTATCAAGAACAAAAGTGATATACTTCAAGAACACGAAATGCGTATGAGTGAAGTTGATGCATCGAGAGTTGAAGATGATATCCAAAGTAATACACATGCAGATTTTGAGTGTGGTATATCGAGAGTTGGAGATGATGTTCAAGACAATACTCAGGCAAATGTTGAGTGTGACAATTTAGAAGTTCAAACTCAGAATGAATTAGATTTTCATAAAGGTGATATAATGCATGATGAATTAAATATGTATGGAGACATGAATTCCGTTATCCAGGGTTCAGAAGAGATCCAAAACCATGACATAAGTATTCAAAATAATTCAGAGATCTCTACTAAGGAACCTAGTATGCCAGAAGATGGTCCAGGAACACAGCTGGATCACTTCATTGTTGATGATGGAGTAAAGAATGAATTGAATAGGGAAGAGATGGATGCAGAAGTAAATAGGGATTTGGAAGACCATTTTGATAATGCTTGTCATAGTCATTCAACAGTTGAAAATGAAGTTAATCAAGAATCAGGTTACAGTGAAGTATATAAAAATTCAAATGAAGCGTATTTTGTGAAAGAGGAATACGAATCTATAACATCATCATCTAATGCTACTGAATTAGATGCTCCCGGAGAAGATAAATATGGAATGACAGCTTCTGAAGAATATGGAAATGAAATGACTGTGCAGCGTACTGATCCTGATGAAGACGTAATTCAGCAAAATGCTGAAAATTACTCAGTAACAGAAAGTAAAATTCTTTCTGAAGTCACAGAAACTCATCAGTATGAAGCTGTGTCTAAGTGTGAGGAAAATACTCACATCTCGGACGAAACTTTTATTGAAAGCTCATTTAACAAAAATGTAATCTGTGATCAATATTCCGAGTTTCCTGACACACTTTCAGAAGAAACTAATATAGGTCAAGCAAATTTCAGTTATGTAAGCAGCAAGATAGAGACAGTAACATCCAGTAGCACTTACGAAGACACAACTGCTGTTGAAGAATGTGTTATTAATAGTAAAAGTGATGATGAAGTGAATGAGAAATATGCTTTATATTCGACAGAATCACTTGTTCAAGAAAAGGATGCAGAAAATTCCACATCTAGCAATGGTGTTGAAAGTACGTCAATGAATTTTCCTGAAGCATCTCATTTCGATGTGCCCAAAGAATTGAATTCAAACATAAATGAAGATGTTCATTATTCTTATGAAACTAGCCATTCAGAAGTATATTCACAGCTATATCAAGGCAGTGATATCGTGAGCGAACACCAAGATGCAGGTAAGATGAGTCAGAGCAATGGTTACGATATTGCCGCAGCTGGGTTAAATTTTGATGCTTCTCTTCCCACAAGCTCTGTTGCCGATGAAACTGCAGAACCGTCTTTCAGAACCGTCAATGGGAAAGATCAATCAGCCTGGGATCATAGTTCTTCAGAATATGAAACACACGTCACAGAAACTAGTTCTATCCATACAGAAGCGTACACAATAAATACAGCTGAAAGTTGTGAATCAAGCTACATTATTAATTCACGTTTCCATTCCGATTCTCCTGAAGATAACATAATGAGAAACGATTCCTCTCCAGAAGTTCCCTATCCTGTTGATACTACAACTCCGTTTGCAGAACTGAAAAACTCGTCAGAAATTCATACGGAATCGTACGTTCATTCGAAAGACGATTATCCTAAAAATATTAATTTCTCAAACGCAGGTAGTGTTCCTTTGTCACCAAACAATAAAACACGCAATTCTAATCATGACGATCCTTATGGTGAATCATCAGAAGATGAGGACAGTTCTTCTTTACCTGGAACAGTATCTCCCTATGCTTATACCAATAAGGCTTACACGAGAGAGGAGGGAGATGTAGATGGAAACCATATTTATAAAGAATCCATTGCTTTTGAACAATCTTCTGAAATCATCAAACAGGTGGAATTTGATGGAAATAATCCTCAACCTTTAGAAACGCATCAAATGGGATCTGTTGTGAGTAGCTTCTCTCAAGGTTATCAAGATATACAATACTCTGGGGACACAAACTATGATTTCCGCTTAGAAGAGTGGGGAAAACCTATGGGCCTGCCCACTCCTCCTGACAATACACAAAAGACGCTTACGAAAAAGACTGATAAAGCTGTTACTAAAACCTTGAACAAAAGTGATGCCAATGGCAAAGCTTATTCACCATCTGTTTCAACCAAATTGTCTTCCCCTCTAAAGAAACCCAAGCCTAAGACAGCCAAAGAATCTAGCATCTCTCCTGTGTATGTTGACCTAGCGTATGTTCCTCATCATGGTGATCCTCAGTACTGCGACGTGGAATACTTCAAGAAGATCCGAGCACGATACTACGTTTTTAGTGGTATCAATCCCAGCAAGGAAGTTCTAAATGCCCTTTTAGAAGCAAGGAAAACTTGGAACGAAGATCTAGAAATAACCATCATACCGACATATGAGACGGACATCTTGGGCTACTGGATGGCCCAAAATCAGGACGACTTAGCCGAGTATTCAATAGAGGTTGCTCCTTCGGCGAGTCGGTGTACCGTGAATCTTCAGGATCATGAAACTAGTTGTGCTGCTTACCGTCTAGAGTTCTAAGGAAATGACTTATCAAAGTTTTAAATTGCTTCCGTTAATGGGTGCTTCTTTGTTAGCTTTCATCTTCAGGAAAGAAAGTTTTGAATCAAATGAATAGTTAAAAATCAATCTCAAGGTAAAGGGACATTTCCTGACTTTTATGTTCATTTGTGACACCCAAAACAACTGTTATTTTCGTTACTCTAATTAGGCGTTTTGAATGAATATTTATCTATATTTTAAGGTTTTTTTCAAAGTAGAGTACAGCATAATCAATTTGCATTTTTGAACGAGAATACAATGTAAAAGATACATTATTCAACTTGTAATGTTTCACGGCATGCTTACTTAAAATCTATTTTAAAATTTCAATGAACTATGTACTCTACCTTGAAAAATTCCATTTAGTGCCTAATCGAAAGAGTGAGAAACTTATGTAAAAGAATTTGCAAGAAAAAAATATCAAAAGTTTACTTAAGGGCACCCTGAAAGTACTAGTCCAGTGAAATTATTCTCAAATTAAGAAAAATCTTGATGTTTCTGTAGGATTTCCTATTTATTTTCACACTGGTGGCTGTAAAATCGGATTTAAAGATAATGAAAGATAAAAACTTAGTTGCCTTTGTCCAAACACTTTTTTTTTTTTTGTCATCTTATTCTTTCGAATAATGAAATATCACTGTGTGTTGCAAGGGAAATGGAAAAAATTTGCATTTCCTAAATAGTCTAGTAACATTCCCAAAACATATACTGGTATTTAAATTATTTGTTTGCATTTTATTAGAAGAAAATGAGATTAAAGATAAAGAACAAAAGCTTAAAAGTGCATCAAACTGAATGTCTTTGGTAGTCGTTTGAGAACGATTAAGAAGAGAGAAATACTAATTTAAAAGATGTTATTTTCCTTGTAAACAATGCATTGTACGTATATAAACATATAAGGGTAATTTTTCTTATGATTAGATTTGTTAACACTTTGTGCTCTCCGGGTGCCTTTAAAAATATTTTAAACTTCGAAAGAGGTTGTTTTGCTTCTGGTTCCTTTGAGGCAATGTTGATGTTATTTCTTTAATAAAAAGAATGTATTTTAGTCGTATGGAATTTATCCTATATACACTTCATATTAGTGTCTGTGTTGAATTCTTACGGAAGAAAATTATTAATCTTTTATACCAAATACGAAGATTTTTGTGATGTACATAAAACTAAATTGTGGTCCTTTAATAAATGAGCATGAATTTCACAACACAAATTTTACTTTTTCACTTGTGCTTACGCTTTTTTAACTTTTGCATTTTTATTTGATTTTTATTAACTTTTTAATACTTACATGTGAGATCGTTTGTTCCGATATTCTTCAATGTTCATTACTTCAACTGTTGTACTGATCATGCATTAGTTTTTATTCATATAATCATCTGTAAAAAAAAATAAAAAAGACAAAAGAAGCTATTTTTAATTGAATTTTATCTGTAGGAAGTGAAGTTTGAAAGTTATAGTGTATTTCTTTTATATACATGATTTCTTTTTGGTGTCAGACATCATTTTGATGCTGAGAAGAAAAACTGCTTATAAATCTATTGTACCTGTATATTGATTTTTATAAGAAATATTAATTAAAATGTTTTAAATTTATGCATCTTCGTCAAAAGTATCGTGCGAAGTGACAACATTTTGCTTTCTTTAGCTGTATGAAATCTTTATGGAAATGTTTATAAGAAAGTTCTACTGATAAATTGCCTTGGTAAACTGTATTTCGAAAGGAATGTTCTTCAGGGTAAAAAATATGTTTAAATGGTCACCAAAAAAATTTTTAAGAAATCATATGAATAAAAAAACATTTTAAACTTATTTAGTTTTTATGTTTGCTAAAAAAGTATTTTTAATTTTTTTAATCGGTAAAACATCTATTTTGTTGACATTTCGAGAAAAAATTTGTTTTTGTTTTCATACTTCGAAAAAACCGCCATTTGTTACTAGAATTCCGACATTTTATTGTTTTTGCTTTGTATAGTTAGTAGAAGCATATTGTTAGTTAATTAAAATATTTCGAGTTAATTAAATATTAATTGAAAACAGCTCACTTTCTTGATTAATAGCTTAACTATTTGGAAATGTGCTTTAGTTTATTGAAATGTGAATACTGCTATGCCAGATGCATGTGAGATGCCATCCTGAAGTATATAATATATTCTTTCCTCAATTCTGATCTCTTTTGTTCTAAAATAATATTTTCATTTCTACAGTATATGTCATTTAAATAACTTTTTATATTTACATACTTAATTCATCTATACCTTAGTTACAATAAATTTGGTGAAAACTGTTAATTTTTATGCTATGTAACCCTAACAAGTTAATATTTCTTGAAATTTTAAGGGACCATTTAATTGCCTATTTGTGAAAGTATATTTTATCCTTCACTTGGATGAATGCGCTAAATTAAAGCGAGTACACTTAACGGAGAAATAGCAGCTTCTGAAATGTTAAGGCATAAAATTAATTGTCTTAAACTAATTAGTTGATGTTGAAGTACGCTCATATGCCACGCACATGTGAAAGAATTTGAAATGTCTAATTTTTCATTTTCAGTACATTCTAGGGGAAAAAACTAATATTTATGATATGTTTAGTAATTCCGAACTATAAATTATTCTATGTAAATTCTTTATGTAACTTTAAAGTATTATATGTATTTGTTTTTGATATTTTGATATGCATATACATTTTTGTATTAGTGCTAGTCAGTTTTGCTTTGTCTTTTTATTGAATTATATTTATATACTTATCAACTGTTTGCATCTATTTTTCTTTGCCGGAGAATTCCAAAGATCAGTTGAGTATTCCTATTTTGTATTTGTTCAGCTGAATCAATAATTGAACTGATAGAACTATGTAGCGTCAATCTCTTCCCCCCCCCAAAAAAAACTGCATATTTTTAGCTAAACCCAATATTGTAAACAGCTTATATTCTTAAATGCTTCTCATACGCTTTGTAATTGAAAACTTCCATAGGAATAAGCGTATTTCATTTTAGAAAATAATCCGAATTCGGCATAAAATACTGTATGCATTATCAAAAGATACCAAAAGAAATGTGGAGGTGGTAAACTTTTTCTTTTCATAGAATTTGTGAACAGTTTGGCAGAATACTAATATTTTTGAGATTTCTGATTACATTTTTATACGCAGTTATATATATTCATCTTTACGAAGCATTCTTCGTATTTATGTATTCAAAAGTTCGATTTTATTCTGTATTTTGTCCACTTTTCTTAGGCAGCCAATCACGGATGGTATACTTTTTTGTACATCAGTAAGATCAGATTCATTGAATGGCTGGCTATGAACTTGATTTGTGCACGGTGGTTTCCAGATGCATTTTTAAAGCGGAAGAAATTTAATTTTCATCTCGTAGAAATAATGTTTGAGTGTCGATAAGCAGACGATCCTTCAATATTTTCTTTGATGTTAAAGTAATTTAGAAGTAAACCACATCTCTGTATAAAAAGTATCGATTCTCTTGAGTATTTCATCTTTATCATAATGTGTTAATGTAACTTCAGTCAAATATGATCAGTATTTGGGAGCCACTGGTTTACAGGAAGCCATTTTTAATATTTTCTACCGATGGTCTTGTGTGTGCACTGTATTTTCAATATACCTTTCAATATTTGTTTTTTCGCTGATGGAATGTAATTTAGGGTATTTTAATGATTAGTGTGTTTTTGCTAAATTATTTTCGAGGTAATCTTTTAGATTTATATACATTATATACACATATATTTACAATTTTTAATCTCTTGCAAGGAAATACTTGAGTGTTACCTTTTAGATGCTTCTTGTCATCATATCCTTAGTTCAAGAAAAGGCATTAAATGATAGCTATGCAAAAGTACGATTTATGTATAGAATGATAGCTTGTCGAGTTATTGCGAGAGAAAAGGAAATAACGTGATACAAAGATTTTTAGAACTATACAGGAACAGGTATTTTAATAATATGATGTGCCAAACCACGTAAGCGGCAATACATTTAATTCTGATCAGTCTTTCATTATTATTCCCACTGAAAGCAGACGATAATTTTTATTTTTGTCTTCTGTATTTCAGTCGCTGCTTACGTTGGTTTTACGTAAATGAGTAATGCCTTGAACTTCAAAATCACGAGCTTTAGAACTGTTTTGCTTTAGTTTATTTTCCTTGCTAGCTGATATATTAGATTAACTCAGTGTCTTGCTTAGTGTGAAAGATTAAAGAATCTTATTCGCTTTTCAGGCAGTTTATTACCATGCAAATGTCAGCTGTAGTTACTGTAGAGTATTAGGTGAAGTGAAAAAAAAATGCCGCATGTATGCTGTTACTGCCCAGAGCTTCTATGTTGTATGCTGAAACAGTGTCACCAAAAGCAATGTATTTGTGTTTCATTTAATGTTCTGCGTATACTTCCTCTATCAGAAATGTGCGAGCTTATGCTAATTCTGCAGATTTACTATGTTTGTGAAATAATTATCGAATATTAGGCAATAAAATTATGTTCTGTTTCAAAAGCCTTTTTTATTTCAATTTTTATTATTTGCTTCTTCCTACGACTGATCATATCGTTAATACTGAAATGTGTTCATTAACTGTTATTTTTATCAATGCTAATTAGTTTGAAACTAGAAAGAAAACATATGTTTTAAAATAGTGTATAAAATTACTGGTAATATATTTCTCAAAATATTAATACAGCAGAATAGCTCGCAAATGTCTGAACTTGTTTTTAATATTCCCAATTTTCGTTATCGCATGAATGGAAATAGAATTCCATAAAGAGGGATATTCATGTTGACTTGCTTTCATGTTTCACCTGACATTAGTTTTTGCAATATTTTTAAATATTATGCTTCTTGTATGAATGCTCTGCGGGCACTGTGATGTCTGTTGGCACGTTTTATCTGCGTCCTTCAGCAAATTTTTGACGCGTCTGAACTGTAAACTGTACGTTGTTAAATAAAAGTTCAGTGTAACTTATAAGACTTGTCTCTTCCTATTTTATTTGCTTGTGCTTGCAAGATGAAAACCATTTTGTTCTTTATTTAAACTGAGTCAACACTTCTTCAATAAACTGATCTGCACTCAATAAAATTAGACTATATGTCACAAATGCAGTTTAATGACAATTTGTTAGAATAACTTAGTTTCACTTTTGCTTAATAAACTGGCAGCGTAAAAAACAAGCGCCAAACGATATATTGGCGAGAGAGGATTCTACCTATGTTTTTAGATGCGAAAGAAGTCTTAAAAAGATTTTGTAGTTGCGTTGTATTTGTGCTTCATTCTTTTCAGCATGTTATCTTCTTTTATGGAATATACTCACGATAATATTGCATAATAGATAAGCTATTTAAAACTTAGGAATGAATCTCTTTTAAGTTCTTTATTTCAACACTTCGATTTAAATGTTTGTAAAGATTATTAACTTTGATTTGCATTCTATTTGTGTTCTATCTTAGTTAAGCAAACTCACTAATTTATTAAATAAACATTTTATAGTTATTCTAACTTATGATTTTTTAATAAAACTGTGCTAAATAGAAGAGAGTGTACTCAAACGCCTTAAGTGTGTTAAATTCAGCGTAACTTGTAAGACTTGTCTCTTCCTATTTTATTTGCTTGTGCTTGCAAGATGTAAACCATTTTGTTCTTTATTTAAACTGAGTCAACACTTCTTCAAAAAACTGATCTGCACTCAATAAAATTAGACTATATGTCACAAAAGCAGATTAATGACAATTTGTTAGAATAACTTAGTTTCACTTTTGCTTAATAAACTGGCAGCGTAAAAAACAAGCACCAAACGATATATTGGCGAGAGAGGATTCTACCTATGTTTTTAGATGCGAAAGAAGTCTTAAAAAGATTTTGTAGTTGCGTTGTATTTGTGCTTCATTCTTTTCAGCATGTTATCTTCTTTTATGGAATATACTCACGATAATATTGCATAATAGGTAAGCTATTTAAAACTTAGGAATGAATCTCTTTTAAGTTCTTTATTTCAACACTTCGATTTAAATGTTTGTAAAGAACTTAAAAGAGATTCATTCCTAAGTTTTAAATAGCTTACCTATTATGCAATATTATCGTGAGTATATTCCATAAAAGAAGATAACATGCTGAAAAGAATGAAGCACAAATACAACGCAACTACAAAATCTTTTTAAGACTTCTTTCGCATCTAAAAACATAGGTAGAATCCTCTCTCGCCAATATATCGTTTGGTGCTTGTTTTTTACGCTGCCAGTTTATTAAGCAAAAGTGAAACTAAGTTATTCTAAACAATTGTCATTAATCTGCTTTTGTGACATATATCTAATTTTATTGAGTGCAGATCAGTTTTTTGAAGAAGTGTTGACTCAGTTTAAATAAAGAACAAAATGGTTTACATCTTGCAAGCACAAGCAAATAAAATAGGAAGAGACAAGTCTTACAAGTTACACTGAATTTAACACACTTAAGGCGTTTGAGTACACTCTCTTCTATTTAGCACAGTTTTATTAAAAAATCATAAGTTAGAATAACTATAAAATGTTTATTTAATAAATTAGTGAGTTTGCTTAACTAAGATAGAACACAAATAGAATGCAAATCAAAGTTAATAATCTTTACAAACATTTAAATCGAAGTGTTGAAATAAAGATTATTAACTTTGATTTGCATTCTATTTGTGTTCTATCTTAGTTAAGCAAACTCTCTAATTTGTTAAATAAACATTTTATAGTTATTCTAACTTATTTTTTAATAAAACTGTGCTAAACAGAAGAGAGTGTACTCAAACGCCTTAACTGTGTTAAATTCACGACGTATCACAGTTTCTTCAAGATTATAAATATAAAGCTTCCGAAATAGAAAAAGTTAAAAATTTTTTATGATTAAGAACTGTCGAATAAATCAACTTATCACACCACTAACAAAATTTATGATGCCTGTGAATTGCTACTATAAATCGTACAAAAATTTACTTGTTTAGTACATGTAAAATGTTACGCTGTAATTGTTATTATATTTGTGTATACTCTTTTCAAAGAGTTTCGATTCGGTTTGGAAAACTGAACAGCTTGCCGCGTAGTTGTTTTCGTGTTGTTCTCTATGTATAACAAAAATACAAGCCAATTTCCCTTTGAAAGTCTTTCACGTAGGTATTCATCTCTCTAGGCAAATGTCTTTCATGTGCTTTATGATGATTGATTAAACAAATGTCTCCAAGAGGAAGTTCACAAGCAAAGTTAGAAAGAACAGGAATGCATATTTTTGTTGTCATATATCTATTACAAAATTAAGATCTTTAAGAAATGCCACCGAAATGCAGAGAAGACTTACTGTAGAAATCTTACTGTAGAAAAATGCCTCATATTGCAATAATATTCACGCAATCAAACAATACATATTTCGTGTGATTCTATATGGATTCAATGCATATCGCAAATCAAATAAACACCAAAAAATGATCAAGGTTAACATCGGAAGTTCACAAAACTGCAACATGATAATACAAAGTGTGCACATTTTATTTTTTAATATAAATTAAGAATTTTTTAAATCAGTGGTTGCCATGCCTATAAGCTTATATTTCTACTAAATATGAAATTAATTTTAAACTGTATACAATAAAGAAACCGAAATTGAATTGTACATAAGAAAGAAACTGAAGTGTAGTCTGTAATAAATAATAAATGATAGATTTTATTTAATTTTTTTTTTTTTTTTTTTTTTTTTTTTGTCATCAACACTTTGTTTAGTATTGGGACATTATGTAGTGGCTGCCATTCGAATACATTGTCCAAATGTTCGTCAGTGAGTCTGTTTTTGTACTTATTTTTAATAAATTTCATACTGGAAAAAGAAATTTCACACAGATATGTAGAGCTGAATATTGCCTTCACTTTGAGAAAAACCTGAACTAAAATTGTGTATTTTCCTTTAGGATTAAGAGGTCAAATACTTTGAGCTTGAAGAAAGCGATTTTATTCATAAATCCTTTTGAAAATCAACCAGTTCCAACTCCACTGCCTCATTGTCTTCTTGATAATCAAAAGGCTCTATAACACAAGTAGAGAACTCTTCAGCATTAATCTCTATATAAAAGACGATTTGACAAACAATTGAAATCCTTTTGAAATCTTGGAAGTGTTTTCTGAATTCACTACTTTCTTACGAACTGATACACTTGCGTAACACAGTAAACATACACATTTATCCTTTACCTGGGTAAATAAGTATACAGTTTCGGTACTATTCCGTTTTGAGGACCGTAAAAAATTGCAGCGAAAATGTATGCGCAAAAGCGCCAAATCTAGTGTACGCGCTGATTTCAAATTGCGTAAGTTTAGATAGTTCTGTATTGAAATAGTAGTTTAATTTTTAAATCCTTTTTTGATATTTGATTTAACAATTTGGGAATTGCCCATGACGAAAAGTCTGCAATCCATGTACACATCGAACTATCTTCACTTTAAAAAAAAAAAAACAGAATTGCACAAAAATGGCACTGCGCCTATTTCACTTAAAAAGTGAAAGAAAATTGACAAAAATCCAATTGTTTTGACCCTTGTAAAAAGCGCCAAACAAATAAGTGGACGATTCTGCACTTTACCGAGAATTTTTTCAAAGAAAAGGCATCATTTATCATGTAAAATTATGTTTGAATAACCAGCGAGATGAAATTATGCTTTAGCGATAACTCGGTAGCGAAGTAGGAATCCATTCAGTTATGTTTAGCTTTTTTTTATATAAATTATAATAATGATCTCAAATAGTTATTTACTCTTATGCTTCCATTCAATTATGTTTAGCCTTTTCTATGTAAATTATAATAATAAAGTATTGTATGAAATTAGCTTTTCATCTAAATTAAAGTATTAATCTTTAGATAGTTATTTACTATTTCTTGCGTTAGGGTTGCCTCAATTATTTTTGGCAGCACTGACATCAACAATAGTTTGGCGATTTTTTACGGTTTTCAAAACGGAATAGTACCTTGGTTTCCTATTCCGAACGAAAGTGATAAGTGTTTTTTTACTTTTTGCTTGAACATGCCATCGTTAGAACAGACCTAGCTTGGTATCAATGCGTAAATTAAACTATCCAAGTTATCAAATGTCTAATATACACACGAGAAATATAACGTGCACAACCTCACGCGTATACAATCAACTATGAGATGAGGCTGACAATGGCAGCTGTTGTCATCAGCGTCAGCTCAGTGGAGGGATCAATGTTAGCCAAACGAAGCGTTAACGCGATCTACCGAAAATGTCCCAGCGAGCTACTAGTAGCTCTTTCAAATCTTCTTAACAGAGTTGATTCCAAATATCACAAAGCACTAAATGACACTGGACAGAAGCAGAAGCTATTGCTTCAAGTGTAGAAAATGATGGTTTCGCTCAACCGTTATTTAATTTTAGAAAATAAAAATGGCTCAAGGAGCGAGGTATGTTTATGATGGTTTAACCCTTTCACTACTAACGGGATATATATGTCTCACTGATTGTTTAAAAATTAGTGCTGGGTTAAAAAAGTACTTAGAATCTCCTGAATGTTAGGGATCATCTTCCAATAACTGGAAAATCAAGACATCGCTGTGCTCGTTGTACACAAATCAGCATAAAGAAAAGAACAAATATGAGTAGCCCATGTGTAATGTTGGATTATACAAAGAATGCTGCACCCTGTACCATGCGATGTAAATCTGTTTCATATAATAGTTTTCCAGAATAAAATAGGTGTGCTAATAGTACCTTTGGCTCGAAACCCATTTGTCAAGAAGATCCCAAATGCTAAATTTACCTTACTTATAACATATTTTCTTCACTTGGGTAGAAAATTCGGGGATTTTTTTTTTTTTAATTCGTAGTCAGTTTTAATGTTTGAGAGGCAAACAAATTCTACTCTCAATGCTGCGCTTGTAGGATGTTGTCGGTTGTAGTTGATAATGATTCTACTTCGTAGTCATTTTACCCGATCTGCATTTGTTAGAA